CAATTTATTCGGTTAAATGTACTTTTCAGTTTTGTATTTTTTACTAAATGTGCTGTAATAAGGACTATAATTTTGATACCAAGAATTTCCAGAAATCTTTTACTATTTAAACGAAAACATACCTAAATTATTTTATTAATTTATGGTTATGAAATACAACATGAAACACCGGTATATTTTTCTGCGTTAAAGGTAAAAATCTTCTAAACATTGCTCACCTCTAAGCAATAATTTTTCCTATTTCCACTTATTTGCAGTTATTTACGAGGTATATCCACAAAGTAAGTTCCGTTTGGTTACATAAAAAAAACGTGCACAGATACAGAAATAATATTTATTGCACAAAAATCTACAACTGTGAAACTAATTTTCTACATAGCTTCCGAAATTTTGTAGGCACTTGTCATAGCGTGGCACAAGTTTTTGTATGCCTTCGTCATAGAAGGTTGCCGCCTGTGTTTTCAACCACGTAGTAACATGTTCTTTCAACTCGTCGTCATCGTTGAAGTGCTGACCACCAAGGAAAGATTTTAGGTGTAAAAAGAGATGAAAGTCGCTAGGAGCGAGGTCAGGGCTGTACGGAGGATGGTCAAACACGTCCCAGTCAAATTCCTGTAGGAGTTCTTTTGTCACGTTCGCAGTGTGAGGTCGGGCATTATCCTGTAAAAAAACAACACCTTTTGACAGTAATCCTAGGCGCTTGTTCTGTATTGCGCGGCGCAATTTCTTAATGGTCTCGCAGTAAACATGTGCATTGATTGTTTGGCCTCGTGGTAAGAAATCAATTAGCAAAATGCCTTTTTTGTCCCAAAAAACGGTGCACATGAGTTTTCGAGGTGTCAAGATGTGCTTAGGCTTAACTTTCGTTGGGGACGACGTGTGCCTCCATTCCATTGATTGCCGTTTAGTTTCTGGGGTCTCGTAAGATACCCAAGTTTCATCCCCCGTGACTATCCGAGAAATAAAATCATCACCATCTTCATTGTAGCGTGTCAAAAACTGAAGTGCACTGCCCATCCGTTGTTTTTTGTGTTGTTCGATAAGAATTTTGGGTACCCAACGTGAGCAAAGTTTTCGAAATTTCAGTTTTTCAGTAACAATTTCATGAATTAGTGATCGTGAGATTTGCGGAAATTCCGTAACGAGAGCACTAATTGTAAACTTACGGTTTTGCTTAAGCTTCTCTTCAACTGCGTAAAGCAGTTCATCAGTAACCAAAGACGGGCGTCCACATCGTTCTTCATCGTGGTCTTGATCACGTCCTTCATTGAACTGTCTGACCCATCTTCTAACCATTGAATCACTCATAGCAGCTTGTCCGTAAACCTCGCAGATTTGCTGATGAATTTCACATGGTTTAACTTTCTTTGCATTTAGAAAACGAATCACAGATCTGATTTCACAAGCGGCGGCATTTTCAATTAAGGCTAACATCATAAAGAAGCACTACAAAGAACACATCGGCAGCAGAGATCTGAAAATGGCGCACAA